CAGTGCAAACCGGTGATACTGACATCGAGCGACTGCGCAAGCTATCCACGCTCCGCATCGAACACTTGCCACTTCTGTCATCAGACAAACGTCTACTGCGACTTCTCCCTAAATCACCCTAGGCCAGTAGTCCCATCAACCTTACACAAAAAGGTCTTCAAGACGCTACATAACTTGTCACTTCCAGGCATCCGCGCCTCAGTGAAACTCATCACTGATCGTTTCATCTGGCATAACATCAAGGAGGAAATCGGTCAAAGGGCACACCATTGCCTGTGCTGCCAACGTAACAAGGTTACTTAACATAGAAGGAGCCCTTTAGGTTCGTTCCCTGTCGTTAACGAACGGCTCCACCACACACACGTAGACCTACTGGGGCCCCTGTCGACATCGAAAGTGTGGATCTATATACTCATCCGTATAGATCGTTTCACCCTATGGCCGGTAGCTGTGCCTTTGTCTTCCGCATCCAGCGAAGGAGCATCACAAGCCTTTGAATAGGGCTGGGTAGCAAACGTCGATTGTCCTGCGGGAATTACAACCGATAAAGGTTCTCATATCGAGGGTGTTTTAGCACAGTTATTCGAACAACTTGACAACCGCCGCGTCCAGGCGACAGATTACCACCCAGAAGCCAACGGGATGATCGAGCCTTTTCATCGACAACTGAAAAGTGTTCTGGCGGCGCGGGCGAACACAGACTGGAAGGAGTCTTTACCCATAGTCCTCTTAGGTTACAGATCAGCCTTCAAACCCGTTCTCCAGTCCACGCCGGCAGAGTTGACTTTCGTTCCCACATTGCATCTTTCAGGAGAAATGGTGGCACCGACCCCACCAACTGACTTCAACTGCGGTGACTATTCAGCCCGTTTGGTACATCGTATGCGTCCTTTGTATATCCAACCACTCCTCCAGCAAACACCCCTAGCATACCTCTCCCTAGATTAGTCAAAAGCTCGCACGTTTTCCTCAGATCAGAGGTTCATGCACCACTGCAACATCAGTACAGCCACTCACATAAGGTACTGCGACGCTTAGACAAAGCGGACGTCATAGAGCGCAAAGGTAAACGTGAGACCGTCAGCATTGACCGACGTAAACCGGCACACTTGGAGGAAACTGTCACTCCCGCCAATGGTCCCTCACCCGTTGCGCCACCCGCAACTCCCGTCCCAACAAGTCCTGCTCCCTCCACCCCAATAAACCCCGAGAGACCCTTGGAGCAGGTACCTGATCCCAACCCTCCCCATCGGATCGATAGTCGTGGGAGAGGCCTTAACTTACCGGTACGTTGTGCCTTGTAACACGTTTATACACTCACCAGCGTGCAGACACATTTAGACTGCGATTTATATACTTATACTTTCACCTGCGTATTCACATATGAATGCCAAAACCAAAAATCCTCTTGTCAGTGTTTATTTTTTCCAACATGGTTAATGATTTTTTGTGTGTATATACATTTATAAAATAAACAACCGAAACCTTGCCCCTTTTATTGTGTTTGTATTCTCCTCACTGGTCAGCTCCCGTAAGGGCTGTTTCAACCTTTTTTCTTCCGTTCTATTCCAGGTTCTGACCTCAATTTGGGAGAGATTTTTCGGATATGAACACGAAGCAACCTAAAATCTCGGGAGGAAATCTTTAGTCAAGTAAACGCAGCGACCTCACAACTCGAGAGGAAAACTTTAGTCTGGAGAATGAGACAAGACAGAAGATTGGTATGTTTCCTCACCCGTCCCACCGCTCCAGCACAATATGGGTATCGAAAACCATTTTCTGACAGCCCCTGTCAGTTGTTTACTGGCTGGTATCCAGCTGCAACGCTCCTCATATTCTTCTATCTGAAGACGAAACAAAACTGCGCAATAAGCGAAACGGACGGACCTGCAGATGCTTTTCCATAGCATTTTCATTTTCCCACATTTCTCTGGTGAATCAGCATCCCTGCCACATCAACTGCAACTATTTTGAACGTTGATCCCAATATTTCCAAGGCTATCTACTAAGCGATCCAATTTTCCGGACAAGCAAAACACGGCGAACGATGATTGCGCCTGATCGGAGGCTTTCACTAGCCTTCTAAGAAGGAACTCTGTAGTGACACCAACCAACTCCCATTCTGCATGTACCTTTCCTCCCTTGCATCTCATTGTTTTGCTACACCAAGGCCACCTCTTTTTTTCAGTGCATGCTTACTTCCACTCTCCACACGCTTACTCACGCTTTCGCATCTCCCTTTTTGCTCTGCAGATTATCACATTACAATCGTCCTCCGTTTCGTGAATTGTCCAGTTCTGCTTTGCGATATAGATGTTTTATCTCGGGGAACCGACAATCTAGCGCATACGTTACTCATGCTTACCGGTCGGTAGTTGATTATTTCTGACCTGAGCCCTCCATTATGTATAGATATCACTACGGCGGGTTTCCAGTCCCGTGGTAGAATAACTTGTTCTAGTGTTAGCTTAATTAGCTGACAAAATGGTCGAGCTAAGATGCCTACTAATGGTTTCACAATAGCTGAATGAATACCTTCAGGTCCAGCCGACTTGTTCGTATTTAGGCTTTCTGGATGGTTCCTAACCATATCCTCCATTAGACACAAAACGTCATTAACCACTGAAGGAGTTGCCCGGTCCCAGGTTTTGGGAATACCGCGGAACGATCAACTATACTGTAAGCTGACAAAAGTACAGCTCGATCGTTCTACCGACGATGACGAACCAGAATCAGGACAACCGTAAGTGTGAGACCCTTAAGTCCTGGAGAATTGGATTTGATTGGTCCGGCGAGAAATGAACTGAACTGACCTGAGGTTTTCCGCAGTATATGTGTCAAATTGATGATATAAGAAGAATCGATCCCAAAATTCGCCAGAGAGAATTGACGCGAATCTTTCCTTGGCACGAATTTGGGTTTATTCGTTGATGTGACTCAAGTTGTGTGCCC